AAAATAGCCTTGATACCAGCAGTGAAATGGAAGGAAATTTCATTATTTTACACATGTAAACTAGGGCAGTTTGGGATACCTACTAGAAGCTTCAACCTGACTTCTACTGGGTGCAGCAACATGCTCCCAAACATTTTCGTTAGTTCTGTATATAACTAGGGCAGTTTGAGATACCTACTTTTATGCAAAAATTATCCCATTGACACTGATAAATTTATGTACTCATTTGATATCAATAATTTGTTTATATGTGTTCCCTTAAGGGAAGCAATTGTTCTGCAATTTTGTATCAGTTACTTATCTCCCCCACCTCATATTTTGGAGGCTGTTTTCATTGAGTTTATGTGGTAAGCCACATTCAAGAATTTAGCTTTTAACAGCTTGATGTACAAACAAATTAATGGTATGACCCTGGATAGTCTTTTGGATCTGCTCCTGGCCAACATGTTTGTTGGATTTTATGAGGCTAGTGGCTTGTAGAGTCAACCCATTGTTATCACAGATATATGGATGACCTGTTTTGAGTCTTTGATAGTGAGGAACAATCAGAAATTTTTTTTTATGGTTACTTAATGATTTTCATCCAGCTCTCAGATTCACATGTGAAAAGAAAAATATGACTTTTGCATTTCTTGATGTATTAGTGCACAAGTCAGATAATTTCCACTTCTGTGTATCACAAGGCTCCTTTGTCAAGTTCATATACACCATCAGACTCTTTTTGTCTGAGACAGTAGAAACTGAATCTTAAGATGCTGGTGTATCAAACTGTTAAAATATGTTCTCAAACCAAGTTATAATCAGAGATTGAGTTGTCACCAAGATGTTAGTGGATAATGGTTTTCTATTGGACACTATACAGTCAGGCATTCATGCCAAGATGGCACAATTTAAGAAGCCCAAATTGGCTGGCCCAGAGAAATGTCCTGTCTATTTGCAACTCCCATAAATAAGGTTTGTACTGGATTTACTAAGCAAATCTGTTAAATTTTGCTATGTTTTTGGCAAATCCATTAGTATATTCATCTCGACCTGTGTTGAGAGCTGTTTATAAGGATCTTCTTCCTCCACCTCGTATAAACTCCATAATATATCAATATAAGTATGTGTGGGGCTGACCACATAGGGAGAACTCATCAACAGTTGGAGATCCAAAGTGATCAACATGTGTCAGCTAAGATTCATCGGGGCAGGTGTAATAATTTGTGTAAGCTGGTGACCACGTCAGGTTCAGCAATTGCTGAACTTAGTCCGGGTTGTGCAATATCATTTAGCATGGATTTCTTTACAATAATCAGCAAGTTGTACTCTGATTATAGCTTAAAATTTTAGTGGCTATATGCATTGTGACCCGGCAACCTTCTAACTGTAAACAGAGTGATTGCTTGGTCTCGGTGTAATGAATGTGATTTCTCTCCACCTTTCCTGCTGATCCTCCTCTGTGTGTGTGCAAAAATCCTCAAAATAATCAGCATCCAGCTGTATGAAAGCCTTTGCGGCACAAAGAAGTGTGAGTGTCTGCTGCAAGTCTGCCTTATTTGCAAAGGATTTCTCACAAATGTGGTTGTCCAAGAAATGGAAGAAGTGATAAGGTCTGGGGAGTAAGGTGGATGGCACATTGTCTCCAGCCAAGTTGCCATATGGAATCCTTGGCTATCCATGTCTCATGAGGCCTGGCATTGTTCTGGAGAAACAATACACTTTTGCATTTGACCAATGCTAGTTTCTTATACTTCAGTGCCTGTTGTACACCATCCAACTGCCACAAGTACAGGTTCACAGTGATAATTTGGCCCATAGGTAGCATCTCCTAGTGCACCACTTTTCAACTAGTCCACCATACACAGAACATGATCTTGCATGGGTGTTAAGGTGAGGTGGGGTACCCATATCCTCAACTTGTATGCCTTACCTGTTTCATCAAATCTGGAAGCATTTGGCAAGCTCACTACAGTTGTCCTCCTCTGTGGTCAGCCACTTCAGGATTCATTACAAAGGAACAGATCTCTTGACCTGACCCTCTGGAACCAATGTCTGGTGGTGTGTTCACTCGTATTATCCGCCAAAGCTTGACATAAATGGCAACGATGCAGCTGCAGACAAGCCCAGCTTAACCTTTAGAATTGTTCCCCTGCCACTGCATTTTTTGAGTGTGCAAAAAAAAACATGAGCACCTACTATTTTAAAATTGTCATTCCTTTGTATTGTGTGTATAGATTTTGGAGTCTTACTTTGCTGTTGATGTAGCCATTTTTTGTTCACAAAAAATTGTCAAAATTAATGTAGGTTTAATTGATGTTACACCTCTTGTAGAGTGTAGAAGACGACAAAATGGTGATAAAAACCTTAGCCTTGTTGAAAAGCAGTAGTAAGCTATTTCCATCTTAAAATACCAGAAATAACAATTGACAAGTGTTTATTTATAGCAACCCTTGTGAGATGACACAATGTAACTAGAGCAGCAAAGGGAGAGAAGTGTACGGAAACAATTTTCACCTCCAGCTAGACAAAGGTTAAAATCATAGCAGACAATCCTGAATGAGCTGCTTTGAAACTGGCATGTTTCCTTGCTACTGCGCAAGCTATGACTGATCTGTATGCACAATACACTTACATATCAGTGATCACTTCCTCGTATGAGATGTAAAAAAAAAAAAAAAATGGCAAGGACTTTTTTTGGTTATCATTATTTATTTATTTATTTATAAAAATATACAAACACATGTTCAATACCAAGCCTGTAAACATATTAATAGCAATTTCACACCCCCTGGCACTCACATGATATTCAAACCACTTGTAACAGTTCAAATTTTATATATTTACATTTCTGCTACAAATTATGTTGGAGAAACTGGAATGGAATTCTGTCTTTGCTTCAACAACCATTTTAAAAAAAAAAAAAAAACAGAAACAATTTCCTGTTGCAGCACACTTCAATCAACCATTTCATATCATTGAAGACATCAGATGCATGCTTTTAGCCTCTTAATTCAACAGTCAACAAGACGCAGATTGTAGTTGAAATATATTTTTAAAATAAAATCACATTGAGGGATTAAACAGAAATTTGGGTTCACTCAGAGAATCTAATTTCCACAGGGAGCAACAATAACAATTGTATTCCTTGGAAGAGTAAGTCCCATTTCTTTGTTTATTCCTTGCATTGTTAAAAAAGAACACAGGTGTGTCCAAAAATTCCGAATTTAAAATCTTTGTGCTTCAATTTACTCTAAAGGTTTATATAATATCTATCTCTCATATATATATATATATATATATATATATATATATATATAATGGGAACAAAAAATCTTGATTGCTCCATCTTTACAAATGATTGCCATTTGCCAAAGCTCCAACATCAAAATCTCCTCTTCTGCTCCTCGCCACCCCTTCTTGAATGGCTACGAAAGTGATTCTTCAAACCAGCAGCTGACTTGCATGGCTTGAAACATAGACGACAGATAAACTCTAGTGTCTTCATAGGATTGATCGGATCTTGCTATATCTGTTCTTTGTGCATTACCATATCTCTCTTCGATCCAGTTGTAGATTTCCATACCTTACTGCAAATCACACAACCAGTATCACCTGTTCACCGAGGTTGTGCTGCTTCAGAAGGCTCTAATATGATTCCAGATATTTAATGTGTCCAGCTTTAGACAGCAGAATACGATCACATATCAAGTTGACAGGACATCTGTACATCACTGGATTATAAAGTGACATATACTTGTATAACACACACCACTCTTGATAGCCAACATCCAGTGACTAGCAGATGCAAGATAACCAGAACCCACTAAAGGTTTTTTTGAGATCCCTTCTCAATAGTGTCCAGTTTAGTTATTCTTTACTAATGTAAAATCCAGCAAACTTAGAGCACTGCACAGTGGGCATACCGCCCCTCATTAGGTATTGGGAATAGCTTCTTGTTTGAAACAGGTACATGATGCAAAGGTAGCTATCCAGAAATTAGGTGACGTGTGTGTGTGTGTGTGTATATATATATATATATATATATATATATATATATAATCCTGGGTAACACAAACTATATCTGACAGCAAGGCCTCAGATCAGGTTTCGAGGAGTGTCAAACCACTTAATTACTGCTGTTCCCTGGTCCACCCTGACCAGAGGTTTGGTAATACTTCTTAGGGTCCCAGCTATGGGTAAATAGTTACCTTTCCCCCTCCCCCCCAAAAATGGAGTAAGGTGAGACATGATGCTGAGACATAGAAAGGCTCAGGCTGGTTTCTGAGTGTGTGTTTAAACCACCGGGGAAGATGTCCTCCTTAGTCAAGGCAAACATCTAGGAGAAGGAAAATTCTGAGATAACACTGGTGGCTTTTGATGGTATCCAATGATGTCACTTGCTATTCTTTTTGGTAAATATCATCTTTTGCTTAGAGAGTGGGACTAGCTCTGTGCACTGCCTTTTCCCCACTATGAAGGCTTCATGCACAGATATTAATATCTGGAGATCTTTTCTGCACTTGTCATCTTAATGTAGAATTATGGCTGGCTATAGCCTGAAAAGGCAACTTGCATTACAATGAAGGTGTTTAATACAATCAGTCAATGGCAATAAGGGTTCCAAAACCAGATGTAAAAGGGTCTGGCCCAGTAGGTGTCCCAGGAAGCCGCAGCTACTGTGTGCAAACCACTCAATTTTGGATGCTAGATTGTGTGTACTTTACTTGATATTGAAGCAAATGTATAGCGAACTGAGATAAGATCTGCACTGGTTGCTAAGGAGCTCCAAAGATATATGGATGTTGCAGCCCTTTTGAAAACTAGATTTCTTGGGGAGGCTTATTTCATGGAGAAATCTGGTGGCTATACATTTTTCTCTAGGGAAAGAGAATCAGGTGTTGCTTTTGCCATTAGGACATCAATAATTAGTCAGTTGAAAGAGTTTCTGACATGTGTCAATGATAGAATAATCAGTTTTCCTCTAGTATGTGGAAGATATGCAACCTTGATTGGTGTTTATGCCCCACCCATTGTTTGCACAGATGAAGTAAAGGAAGCTTTTTATAATGAACTAAAGTCTCTTGTTAGGAAAGTACATGTAGCAGACAAAATTTGAATTCTTGGAGATTTTAATGCACAGGTGGGTTGTGACTGAGGCATGGAAAGTTCTTGGTAAGCATGGGATTGGAAAGTGCAACAGCAATAGTCTGTTGTTGCAAATGTGCACAGAACTGGACCTGTTCATTGGTAGCACAATATTTCAGCAAAAGAACAAATATAAGACAAAACAGTTGCACATGATTGACTGTGTTCTTGTAAGGTGCCATGATGTACAAGATTTATATATTGTGCATGTGATGTGTGGGGCTGAATGTTGGACTAACCATCACCTGGTAAGAGCAAGAGTTAAGTGTGTTGTCCATAAAAAGGTAAGACAAGGAGGGTTATCACTTCCAAAGAGGCTGTACATTAGCTGTCTGCAAGTTTCTGAGGTTAGACATAATCTAGTCAATATGATGGATGCTTTAGTAAGTGAAAATAACTGGACTTTCAAGGAGGCAATCTACATGATTTACTGATAAGTATCAGAATGACAAGCACATAGAAAAGCTCTTGGCATTACTTCATAATGATTTACCTGGTGATCAGAAGGAAATTGCGGCAATAAAAGCTGATATACAGTGAAATCTGTGCACGATGAAGGATAAATGGTGGAGTGACAAAGCTGATGAATACAGCTTGCATCAGATGTGTAGGATACTAAGGCCATGTACAATATATTTCATGAAGTTTACGGGCCTTCTACTTCATTTGTTGCTCCTAAGGATGGCAAAAAAAATTCTATGAGATCCCAATGATATTCTATTGAGATGGCGTGAATATTTTGACAAGCTTCTCAATAAGCACTTATCGGATCTATACCTGAAGTCTGCTAAAGAATTTCTCACGGAGCCTCCAACATTTGGGTGGGTTGTCAGAAAGCATAATGGTGGAAAGTCACTAGGAATTGATGGGTGGCATGCCGAGATTTTTATGCACAGAGGAGAAAGTTTTTTGCATTGGCTTCATTTGTTGTTGCTAGTTGCCTGGAGTAATAAGTGTTCCTGATGACTGGAAAGATGCTGTCATGGTTGTTTTGTACAAGGGCAAGGGGGACAGAAATGACTGGAAATTATTGTGGCATATCACTGTTGTCAGTTGTCAGTAAGGTTTTTTGTGGAGTTCTGCTAGATTGCTTGTTGCTATTCCAGAGTCACAGTCAGGCTTAAGGGTGGGGCGTGGCACTAGATATGATCTTCACAGACAGACAACTGCAAGAAAAGTGTCGAGCAGAATATAAATCTCTACCAGGTAATTGTTGACTTGACAAAGGCATTTGACACCATAGACAGAAAGGCTTTGTGGAATATTTTAGGGAAACTGGGATGTCCTGAAAAGTTCGTTTCCCTTTGCTTGTTTCAAGATGATATGAAGGCATGGGTTAATGTTCATAGAAAGCTCTCTGAGCTAGTGACAGTTTAAAATGGAGTTAAGCAGGCTGACATTCTTGAAACCAACCCTATTTATCCTGTGTTTCTCAATCATTTTTGAACAGGCCTTTAAGAACTGAAACTATTAGTTTGAAGACAGTAGTCATGTACCAACCAGCTCCAACAAAGCCATATCGTGAACCAGGCATCTTTTTTTTTTTTCTATAGAAAATTTGAAGGCTGTGTATCTTGGGAGCATCTTCTATCATGTTGAAATTTTAAACCGCAAAGAAAAAGCTAGTGACGCATTTGGAAAACTGAAACATCTGTGGTCTCGGCAGATCTAAAGATCTATTGTGTATGTATGCTTACTGCATTTCCTTATACTTGTAAGACATGGGTGGTTTACTGCAGACAAATGAGATACTCCACCAGTAATGCTTACATTGTATCCTTGGCATTACCTGGCAAATGTTTGTTAGTGATGTAGATGTGCTAGAGAGGAGTGACTGTGATAGTAATGAATCCTTGATACTAAAACATCAACTTTGGTGGACCAATCCCTCATCAAAATGGATGACAGCTGTATTCCAAAGCAGTGGTGAGCTGCGAAAAAGGAAGAGAAATGTCATCAAACCTAGGATGCACTGAATAAATGCAAGATTGAGCACTGTGAGGAATGTATATCTGATCAGTAATAATTGGAATGAAGCTGGACGGTGTCACTTTAAGGAGGAGAAGAGGAGGCATGCAAAGCTTAAAAGGGATGTGTGTAAAGGTGTTCCTGTTGAACTTCCTGAAGATACCCACAGGCAATTTGATCTGATGTGTACAGATAGTGGTAGAGTGAGTTATAGTCATCCACAGACAGAATGTTTTGCTGCATCATAGCTCCTCAGTGTGGCTAGGCATCAGATTGCTTCAAGCCTGGATTAAAACCTGACATCATTCAAATATCTTACACCTAGGCCATCGGCGCATGGCAGAAAGGGAAGGGAATTTTAACGTTTCTCTATGCTAAAATGCACCAGTGGTTTGGAGATCTCAATTCACACTTGAAAGTAATCATAATACTGGTTGATCCAGTGATTTGACACATATATAATGTATGTTCCCAGCGTGCGGCAGCTTTCAAAAGTGCCTGAAAGCCACACTATGGGTTGACCCAAGTCTTATGAGTGACATTGGATAGGCAGAATTCTTGTGGGCTATCGATAGCTGTGCTAGCACGAAGCCACAATTTATCGTGGCTGTGAACTTGAGCGTGCTGATCTTGTTCAAATTGTTGGTTACACTAGATAACGCGCTCTCCCATGAACTGTAACTAAGGTCTGCTCAGCATAGTTGTATAAAGCACAGTTGGGCTCTGTTGGCATTGATCAAACACAAATGTGCCTGAGTGAGCGTCTGCAGTAGGGATTAGCTAGACGCCCTAGTAGACGGGTGCCTTCAGATATGAGGTTATGCTAGCTATATATATATATATATATATATATATATATATATATATATGTGTATATGTATGTATGTATGTATGTATGTATGTATATAGTGTAAATAAATGCATGTATGTGTGTGTGCGTGTGTATATATTTATTTTTTTTTTTTTTTTTTTTAATTCAATAACCACGTAGGCAATGACTACTTTGTTTCATGTCTGTGCACAAACTCTTCAGGTAACCAGTAACTTTCAGTAAACTTTCACCTTATATAACACTGGACCAGTAAAATTGGGTAGGGTAGTTCATCCAACCAAGATCTAAAATAATAAACAAAAAAAAAAAAAAGAATCAACCCATAAAGTTTTGCCAGCATAGCAAAAATCACTCAATAACAAGAGAAAGTGATGTCATGTTACATGAGCTGAAGCATTAAGCCAAAACAAACTGCTCAACAGGTCCAGACAACCAAATTGACGATTCCAGTTTCAATAACAGCTCTATATACAGTCTGTCCAAAATTATCCTTTCTTACAAAAGTGCTCTGTACTGTAAAAATAATAGCATTTGAATATTAATTGAATAACCAGGAAACTTAAACTGGTACCTGGTCATTTTTTGTGTGTGTATATATATATATATATATATATATATATATATATATATATATATATATATATATAGTTTTAAGGTGTGCTATATTTATAGGATAAAGTGCTCAATATTAGAGATAGTGTATATAAATATAAAGTGAACATTGAAGTAAACACTCAGAGGCAACGGGATGTTTCATGCTAGACACAATCGTCAGCCTGTGAGTGTTGGATTTTTTCTCAACTGGTTATATATATGGGGCAGTGTTGCATTTTGGATAATCCATTTTTGCGGGAGTGACTTGCTTGTTTGTTTATTTGTTTGGGTCAATTTATTTTCCTTGTTTTTTTTTTTTTTAAAAGAAAAAGACAGAAACTTATTTTTCTTTTCACTCAGCCCTAAAATACACACACAAACATTTTAAACAAAATTTCATTGCACACATCTTTTCAGACAAAAATTAAGTGAATTACGCCCAAGTTGTTGAAATGTAAACATTTTGTTCATTTCTGCTCAGTTTTCTTTCTGCTCAGTTTTTATTTCTTTCTCTATTAATAAAAGGAGCTTATACTTTTAATCACGTGTTTTGTTGTATCTTCATTTTCGTCACTGGAAGATTCTGTGTTGCATCTTTCCCTGTTTGCTTGTGATGGAGTGACATCCCATAAAATTCTGCAAGCCAATACCAGCAATTCACTTGGCGTTGTCTGGGTGGTAGGTATAAATATATTTGCCACCCTCGCTGGGATAGAGCACCAGTGAGAGGAGTTTAGCGACAACAGGTGTGTGTGTGTATATATATATATATATATGTGTGTGTGTGTGTGTGTAACAAATGCACGGCCGCAATTTTCAACTGATTTGCACCAAATTTTACAAGTTACCGGAAAGGCCAAGACCAACTTTGCATTTCGCAACTCTCATCGATAGTGGAAATAATCGATTTTTTTTTTCATACTACTACGGCAGTTTTTCATGTGGTTTTCGACCCATTTTTGCTTGCTAGCCAGGGTGAGAGCCTTTAGCTGGCTGCCAACGAATAGGCAGGAATATTCTATTGTGGCCAGCATGAGAGCCAACAACTGACTGACCGAATCTTAACTAGCATACCAAAAAAATACGTTACCTGCATTACGTCACAAGTGTGGAAAATTTAAATCTGCATGGCACTTTCTCCAATTAGCTCATTTGCTTGCGTAAACTCAATGTTGATTCGATTCCATAAAAATTGGGATGGGTGTGAAAAAGTATTTGTTGTTAACATTCTTTTTCTCTTCGGTTTTTCAATTCTGAGTGGTTTTTAAATCTGATTGTTTTACGTTCGTTTTGTTTAGTTCTTTTTTCGTAACAGATTTAATGTTTACTATAGACATTAGAAAAAATTTGCAGTGTGAGATAGGCACGAAGGCATTTAGCAACATCAGGACAGCAAAAGGCCTTTCTTTAAAGTCAGCTAGGAGCAAAAACATTTTAAGTTAAGTCATAGCAATTGCTGTATCAGTCATACGATTTTTGAATCAACAATGACAAAACATGGCAGACCATGCTGTTTGTGTGTCATATATATATATATATATATATATATATAAATATGTATGTGTATAGACATGTGTAGAAATGTATAGTATAGATGCATAGAAATGTGTGTGTATAGATATGTGTAGAAATGTGTATAGATATGTGTAGATGTATAGATATGTGTGCAGAAACCTTTTTACATGACATGTGTGTATATAGAAATATGTATAGAAATGTGTGTATAGATGTGTATAGAAATGTGTGTGTGTATAGAAATGTGTAGAAATGTGTGTATAGAAATGTGTAGAAATGTGTAGAAATGTAGAAATGTGTATAGAATGTAGAAAAATGTGTGTGTGTGTAGAAATGTGTGTGTGTATGTGTATAGAATGTGTGTATAGATAAATGTGTGTGTGTGTATAGAAATGTGTAGAAATGTGTGTGTATAGAAATGTGTAGAAATGTGTGTGTATAGAAATGTGTAGAAATGTGTGTGTATAGAAATGTGTAGAAATGTGTGTGTATAGATATGTGTAGAAATGTGTGTGTATAGATATGTGTAGAAATGTGTGTGTATAGATATGTGTAGAAATGTGTGTGTATAGATATGTGTAGAAATGTGTGTGTATAGATATGTGTAGAAATGTGGTGTGTGGATGTAGTGTGAAATGTGTGTGTATATATGTGTGTGTATGTGTATGTATGGATATATGTATATATATATATATATATGTGTGTAGACAACGTTCGATACGTGGAGTGTGTGTAGTGTGGATGTTCATATTTCAACAATGGATGTGTGTGTGTTCATGTTGTGTGTGTATATATATGTGTGTGTGTGTATATATATATATGTGTGTGTAGATATGTGTCTGTATATATGTATATATATATCCATACACAAAAAAAAATGTGTCTCTGTATGGATGTGTGTTTTGTGTGTGTATCTTGGAATTTTCTAGCACATTGTATGGATGTGTGTGAACATTTGTGTGATAAAGTGTGTGTCAAAATGTGTGTATACTATTTTCAACCAATTGTGTATAATGTGTCTGTATTTGTATGTATATGTGTGTGTGTGTGTGTATGAAATATTTTTTAATTTGTATAATATGTGTGTGTGTAATTTATATTTTTTTTTGTACATAATTGCATCAATATCATGTCTGTGTATATGTGTGTGTATATGTAGCGTCGACAATTATCTGAACATTGTGTAAAATATAGAATAATTATGTGAATAAATGTTAAAAATCTCTCTGCCTGAAAAATTAGAAGATGAGTCAATGAAATATTCCCATAATAGTTGTTTCATTTGAATAGACAGATGTATTAAATGTATCAGTGTTACATATGTGTATATATATTTTATATGACTCATCTTCATATTTATAGGCCTAATTATCTTCATTTTGTATATTTATTTTAAAAAAAATATCTTACTGCCTCTGTTTTAATAGTTGTTTCATTTGAATATAGATACAAGTACTAAAAGCAAATTCTTATGGTTTTAAGATATCTTCAGTGGCTTAAATATATTTTTCAGGCCTGAATCATTTTATATTAAATTTTTTTTAAAAATATATTACTTTTTTCATAGACATTCCAAGTAAAAGACACTATAATCTATACTAGTGGAACTGGATGTGGAAGAGTTAGAAACATCAGGAGGACCCTTTGGTATCAATGACAGACCTTATATATTTATATATATGTGTGTATATAAAAATGTGTCTGAATGGATGTTTATATATATATATATATGTGTGTATATATATATGTGTCTTTGTATATTGAGACATTATAT